GGGGAGGGGAGGCTGCAGGCCCCCGGGGCAGGGATGTGGGCCGGGGGATAGATTTGGAGCCGTAGGACCAGTGTAAAGTGCCAGAGGAACTGGGGTGGGGACACAAGGCTGTAATCCCAGCACTCTGAAGGCTGAAGCAGGAGGCTCTCTTGAACTGACCCGATCTCAAAAGCAAACAAACGGAACAGAAGGTGCAAAAGGGACCTGGGAGGAGGACGGTGACATTTGGGCAGCTGACGCCCGGAGTGGGAGCAGGTGGAGGATCTGGGCTCTGCTCACCCGGGTCCTCTCTCTGCCCCCATCCAGGAACCTTACTGCCTCTGTACCCCACCCCGCCAGTGGGCTCCTTTCCTCTGCTGAACCTGCCTACACCCCTGTACCCCATGATGTGCTCCATGGAACACCCCCTGTCGGCAGACATCGCCACAGCCACCCACGCAGATGAGGACGGGGACACGTGAGTGACAGCCCCTCAGGAGTGGGAGGGTGCGGTGCTCAGCCCCGGGGTCTCCTTGCTGCTGCTGTGCAACCTTAAGCAAGGCCTTGCCCTCTCTGAGCTTCAGCCTCCTCCTCTGAGAAGCGGGCTCCCAAAGAGCACTTACCTCCTAGACTGCCTCTGGAGCAGTGGTCTTCACATTTTTTCAGAGCTGGGGATTGAATCCGGAGCCTCATGCATGCCAAACACGCTCTACCACTGAGCAACACCCCTGCCCCTCAGTTTTTTTGGTCACAATGCAAAAAGGAGAAATACATTTCTGATCAATTGTCTATTTGAATTATGCACATAAAGCCCCTAGTGCTGGGCCTGGTATAGTATTATTCAATGAGTGCTAATAAATATTACAGTTATTGCTACTTTATCTCCATCCCAGTGTGCATGCACACACAAACTTGAAGTAAAAATTGCACAAACTGGTGACATATACCAACAATCCTGGTACTTGGAAAGCTGAGGCAGGGAGATCTCAGGTACAAGGCCAGCCTTGGCTACATGAATTCAAGTCTGTCCAGCCTGCACTACATAGCAGACCCTGCCAAAAAAAAAAAAAAAAAAAAAAAAAGCACAAACAAAACAATACTCTTATTTTACAGGACCTATTTTGATCTTTGCTATTCTAGTCCGCTTCATTATCTTGTGTTCATAGCCAGCTAAGTTAGACAGTCCCTTAAAGTGATTTCACAGTCCCTTGGCTTGTCACCTGCAGTTCAAAAACATGCTTCCTAGGCTGCCCAGAGTCCTGGCTTTGACCCTGTGCCAGGCACATAATATGTACTGAGTACAATTGACCAGGATGATTATTGTGATTAGGTGGATCTGGGTTTAAATCTTCGACGGCCGATGTCTTCCCCACCCCGTGCCTCCTATCCCCCCGCCACCATGAAACCAGGAACTAAACAGAGATGGTTTCTCTGAAATCATGTACTCTCTCAACACTAAGGGAGGCTGAGGCAGGAAGATCCCAAGTTCAAGGGCCACCAGAGCAATTTAGTGATAACCCATTTTAAATAAATAAAAGGGCTGGGGGTGTGGCCCTGTGGTGAAGGCTCTGGAGTCTATCCCCAGGACCACAGACACAGGAAATGGACAAGGGCCCCCTGAGTAACCTACATCCCTGAGCCTCAGTTTCCCTGTTTGGAACCCGGGCCTTATCCTAGCACCCATCATGCTTAGGGTTCGGCGAGATGAGGTACACAGGTGAAGAGCGCAGAAAGGAGCTGAGTGAACAAAGCTCAGTTCTTGGGAGCAGAGCGGGCGGCCTGCAGGTGAGGTGTCAGTGGAGACCATCTGTGGGCCCCAGCGGAGAAAGTGCCTGCTACCTAGAGGGCCCCATCAAGCCGGCTCCTCCCACTCCGGGTGCCCGGGGGTCATCTGGAGTCAGGTTTCCTTTCTATCTGTCCCCAGGGGT